TTTTTAACAGCAAATCGGCCGCATGAACGAGTTATTGACAAATTAGGGTTTGGGTGGTTTGAGAAATTTTATTGTAATTATTTTTTACTTTTTATTTGGTTATTAATTTGTTAAGCAATTTTGTTAAAAATTAAACGAACATGTCGATCCGACCTATTTAACAGCAAATCGGCTGCCGGTACAAATTATTGATAAATTACGGTTTGGGTGGTTGGGAAATTTTGTTGTACTTATTATATAGATTTATTGAACTTTAATTAACAATTATAAATTTGTTAATTAAAGGTATGTAAAGCAAATGTATGAAAATAAATTACAGATTTTTTTGGGAAATTCTGAATATATTTTTGTTAATTATTTGTATATTTAAAAAAAAAAATCCTTTTAGGCACAACAAATATATACTTAATTTGTGTAATTCAAGTGCATCTAATTCCCTCACTATGCGCAACAAATACTTAATTTGTGAAATAAAATTTTAATTTATTTCTAGTTTCTAGTTATGTCAAAAGAAAAAACAAAAAAGGGCCAAAAACATAAAATATTCTTAAACTTCATTTCTTATCATTGTGAAGGTGAAATCTTTTATAATATTAAATAAATTGTATCTCGTCGTCAATTCTCACAAAATGTTCAGAAAATTTACTCCAATACTTGGTTAATTTAAAATTATTTTTTTATTTTAACGTGTAAGGGAATTTTCTGTCTCATAGTAGGATAGCTTTTGAAAAATATATATGGTAGTAATGAATACAGTATGGCAGAATAACGAATAAACTCTAATAATGTAAAAAAGAAGAAGAAAAAAAAAAGGTGAAAATATCAGTCATGCAAAATAATTTCACATGCATGAAACTCAATTCATCATGTTAATCAACCACCAAGTGTTGAACAATTGATCTCAAATTGAATAACAAGTAACTTAACTTGTTTTGAACCCTAAAATTTTTATAAAGACCGAAAAAATAAATTTTACTCCAGCGATATCCTATTTCCACAGCCGAGCTTTCAGAGATGAGGCAAACAATTATGAACCTAACACAACATGTACTGCTTTGAATTACAAGAACAACATTTGACCGGACAACATCCGCAGTTCGATTTTCTTTACGCAACTCTGGCATATCTTCTAATCCTATAATCCGAGACGAAGAAGAAAGAAAATCAAAATGGATTTCAAAAATCTTTCATCCTCAAATACATTTTTTTGCACATAATCCGACTCAGCTCACTTAAATAGACTAGAAAGCGCAGAGGCATTTTCATGTACCTTATTAGGTTTTACATGATTATTATCTTTCAAAATCCTCTTCTCGTTCACATTCTTATCGGAATGTTGCGGAATCTCTTTAATAACCGACTTCTGTGGTGGATTCGTTACTTGCATTTTGTCGTCTTCTTCGGCTTTTATGGATCCTCTTTCTGCAGTATTTCTGTAAAGAAGAGTTCTCAATATTATCTTACCGAGCACAAACCTATTCTCACATATGTTCCCATCTTTCAGCAAGTGATAATCTATCCCTCCACTTCTTTCCTTGGCCTTTATAGTTTCAACATCTCTCGTCAAAATGTTAAAAATATTCTTCACATATTGCCCCATTTTCTGGGATACAAACACCTGAAATTACAAAATCATTACTTAATAACTGTCAATATCGGACGAGTAATAATACATATAAATAAATTACGAACAATTACGAACCAGTTAACTCCTATGATCTATACTTTAAAAAAATTATTCTTGTAGCTTCTTCAGGGTAAACCACATTCAATCTAATCGAGAAAAGTCTTATCGGTAGTGTACACAGTAACGTAGCAGACACAGTTGATACCGAAATTACCAAGAAGAAAACTAAAATATTCATTAAAGAACTCTCTTTAGCTTGAATAATAAAACATGTTACGCAGATCTAATGAAGAATTAAATTCTAGGTTAAAAATTAGTACAGTACTGCAATTGTTGTTAGAACCTAGTATGATTACTATAATTGTGGTTAAAACCAAGATTTTAAAAATGTCAGGAAAATAAGAAAAAAGATTTGGAATTGGCAATGAATACAGCAGTACCTGCATTCAGACAATCCTTGCATTAAAATAATATTTTCAAAAAATTTATTAATATAGTTGGTTGACCGATCCATGGGTTGGTTAAAAAATTATTATCCGCCTTAAAATACTTAAAATATGGTTGGTAATGGATCGGCTGCCGGATAAAAACCAACCCAGTCACAGCCCTAATTATGATAGTTGTGTCATGAAAGCCAACGATATTATAAATTTTGTTTTGCCCTATAAAATGGCTGAGCAGAAAGAAGTCCCTTTTTGTAAGAGAGCCAGACAATGCATACCGACACATGAAAGTTAAATGGAAAAGAGGGAAGCCTTCACTCATGATGGAATAACCAAATTTAAGATAGGACATTCTTTTTCGCACCAGAAATTGGGATAGTGTAACCAAAGTGGAGCAAGTAAAAATTGGTACTGCTATACTTACCACACCAGAGCATGAAAAAAATCCTGGGAATCTTGTCATTGCGTGAAAGAGGCAGTCCTTATTGGTGAGAATATTTACGGCATTTTTCACTTGCTCGGAAAACTGAGATACTCTGTCAGCTATCTCATTATCTGATAAATAGTTTGAAGCATCTAAAATTTCGGGAACATAGATTCGTGTGTCTAGAGCCCTTTCTCTCGCAAAATTGACACTTTCCTCCCATGTTCTACTATAAAGAAGTGAAGCAAAAGTCAAAACCACGACAGCATGTTGGGGATTGCTGAACAGTGCCATGTTAAATGCCGATATTGCAACCCTGTTCCATAAATTTCGGTAATAATAAATAAATAAGAATTAATAAGGGCTGTCTGATTAGCTTCAAGGAATAGTCTCGAAGATACTTGAGAAACAAGGTGAAATGAGTACGTTTATGAGTTATGACTGCTGAGATATATCTTAAATATAACCAACAAGGCAACAACCAGAAACAAGTTAATGAAAACCATAACCTTCTCTCTGCGTAGGAAGTGATGTGTTTGGATTTACGAGTATATATATAATCAAATGTTAATATATATATATATATATATATATATATATATATATATATATATATATATATATATATATATATATATATATATATATATATATATATATATATATATATATATATATATATATATATATATATCTCTATATATATATATATATATATGTATATATATATCT